AACTGTACTGGAAATACTGTACTGCTTTCTATCTTCAATAATGGACTTTTTATCTGTTGTACTATACTGAGCAAACTGTCATAACACAAATACAGAAAATGTATCCTAGTGTAAATTCCATCTTCACTTTCGATTGATCCGTTGCAGCTATGTATTTCTTAAAGAAGCTACTTGAGCATCTTGCTTTGAGATTAAAGCAAAAAAATCACAACTTCCTTCAATCTTTGCAACTTTTGCAATATTGCAACTTGGCAATAAAAGAGGATGCACCTATTAAGAGGATGCACCTCGTAAATTTAATTTCACACTACTTTTACTACACTTTCCAGAAATGAATATAGAATTAAGAATTTCTTCTTACGGCGTGAAGGAAGGACCTTTGCAAACCTTCCAGCCCTGTGAGGCAAAGCTTATAAATCTAAGGGCTTGACAACTTTGCCTACAGTATTTTCAAAGCGCTCCATCAGAAAAAGCCTTTCTTGATACTTGTTATCTGATCTGTCCAAAGTTCACCTTTCTCACTGGAATGGAAAAAAAAATAGTGAGACAGATGAAAGTACATTAGTACTTTAGATTTTTTAAAACTCTCAACAAAAGGCTTCTGAAAACCCAGAGGAAAGACAAATCTACCTTAAAGATGGGAAGAGAATGCAATTTGGCAGAATTCTAAACCAAAATCTTCTTAACCCTTGACTGCAGTTGAACATGTTCCAGATTACTTCAAAGAGAATAACCCCTGTGATGCTGCAAGTACTAGGTATGTCAGAACAACTCAGAATTCAACTGAATGTAAATAGAGAAGCAGACTGTCTCATCACAGTAGGGATAACCAGACAACTGCAGAAGAAAGGGTTAAATGTCTAGTCAAGAAAAAACAGAAGGTGGTTACTCCTTTAATTTTATGAAATCTAATGCTTGTAGTGGAACAAAGTTATGCAACACTGAGAATATATGTTAGAAAAATACAGATACCTTTCCTCTGAAAGGCAGAGTAGCAGTCTTGTCCAGATGCCAAGCTAAAGTTCAGGGATGGAACAAAACCACATCATCATTTGTTTGTCCAAGAACTTTTCATTATTTTTTCCTTTTATATGATTTAAGGCATAACTTGAACAATACACTAGCAGTAGATAAAATGTGTATTTATACTACATTTCTTTAAAATTGTGCTTAAATAACGCAAATGCAACTTGAAATCAAGCTCAAAACTTGGCAAGTACATACTGGTCATTGAGGGATAGAAGCTAAGATAGCTCTGGTAAAGTCAAGTCAAAAATATAAAATCAGGAAGAACTAGATGGAGAACACTGAAAAGAAGAGTAGAAAATGCAATTCAGAGAATTTTTTTGCAATCCATAAAAGACAATTCGTGAAAATGAGGATTCTGAATATATTCCAGAAGATGCCAGATACAGAACTCTCAAACTGAACTCAGAGACATATCCGTATCACCTAAAAAAACTCTCTACATCCATCTCCCTACAGAGTTCACTCTGGTTCACTGCTTCCTTTGGTGCTATTGTCTGCCATGGGGTTACCATCAGAGAACGCTGGTAGGCAGTACTTCCCTCTAATATCTATTTTCAACCGCCTAAATTGGTCTTCATAGGATTCCATTGTGCACACTGCAAAGAAACTTGTCTTGTTGCCAGCTAGAACTCTGAACTACATGTCTTTCTTTTCTTCACTGTTCTTTTTTTGGTTCACAAGCAACCTCCTACCAAAAGCAGAATCTGCAGAAGAGACTACATCCAAGCGATAATGCAATGAAAAAGTATGAAGAGAAGCCCAGGTGGCCACCTTGCAAATTTCCAATGTGGAAGCCTTCGACCTCTCCGCCCAAGAAGCAGCTATAGTCCTAGTGTAATGAGCTTTACAAACCCTGGGAGTCTCTTTACCCTTAACTACATACGCCTCCCTAATACAATCCCTTAACCATCTAGCTAAGCAACTCTTAGAAGCCATTTGACCCCTCTTAAGACCCCCTAAGAGTACAAACAATCTGTCAGAAGATATGAAATCTTTGATTCTTCTGTGATAAACCCTAAGTGTTCTTCTTACATCCAATTTATGCAGCCATTGCTCTTTGTCATTGCTGGGTTTAGGGAAAAATGAGGGCCAAGAAACTGTCTAGTTTAGATAAAACTCAGATGCCATCTTTGGGACAAAAAAAAATTTAAAAAGAGGAACCATCCAAAGAACTACTTTGTTTCTGATGGAACTTGACACATGTTCTAAATATCAAGATTGAAGTACTATGGGATATAAAGCAAAAAAAAACAATTAAAACTGCCCATGAAACAGCTATAGACATAAATGCAACACTTGACACAAGCACATGAAAAAACATGCTATTTTTGTTGCATCTCTGCATGAGTTACATAGATAAAAGACTCCTGTGAATACTAAAAGCAACCAAAAAAAAGAAAGCAAGTGCAAGGTTCCCATCTATGTGATGTCTAGGGAAACTTTAGTTCACTTGGACATTAGCCTACCTTTTATGAACAGGTCAGTTTCCCCTAATTTGCCAGTACTACTTGCAGAGGACTGACACTTCAGATATCCCTCACTGCACTGACTGAAGCGTAGACTGGATACACCCAACCTAGCTTTAACCCACTGAGAGTACAGGTAACTGTCTAGTACCAGCAGCACATGGCTGAATCTGGGCTAATTTGCTCTGCTTCTTAGGCTGGTTCTGTAGTCTGTGCTGCACTGTAAACTTGATACTGGTACTCCAGTTAATTTAAAGCTGCTTTGGACATATCTACACTCCAGATTTTGTTAAATTAAACAAGATTTCTAGTAATAAGGCTTCTAAATAAGTACAGAAGATGGCAATTATATTTTCTAGTCACATATTATAATGTGTTCTGATGAAATAAAACAAGGATTCTAATCTATCCTTCTTATCAAAACTCAGTCTTCATCAGTGACAAAAATAAGATTATCAGTCTAATATAGGACATTAACAGAGAAAATTTTAAATCCCTTTTGGTACTTAACAGAGCCTGTAACTACTGGAAATATAGCTCTCATTCTCCCACATTCAATAATTTTTCATTTCATCACTACAACTGAGATTTCTGACAATATGAAGTGAAAATAACACAAATAAACCCTTCTTCTAGTCAGACATCTTATTAAAAATTTCTCTGGACATGTCTTCTTTTTACATACTACCTGTAAACATAAAACTTAGCAAAGTTTTGTGAATAGAACCACCTGATCAGAACCGCAACACTAAATACAAAGCTATGTCTGAAGACTTCACTAAAAGCACCTGTAAAATATTTACCTTCACTTGTTTTTCAGGGTAAAAGTAATTTTATGTTTTCTTTATAGAATGCAGCTTCTACCCAAAGACTCCCTCCTCCAATAAGATTTAATAATATTTCCCATTCAGATTTTATTAAGTAGAGGTACCAATTAAGAACTGACTTGTCATAGACAGAATTACCCTTAAAGAATATTCCTCAAAGAAGGAGGCTTAACATACTTTAGAGAAACAGTTCTGAATGTAATTAAGCTTGGAAAAATGCCTGTAGGATAAAGTCCTAAATACACTTCCTGGAAAGTAAATTATTTCTTATCAATGTTGAGTTCTTTAAGTTCTCTGAATTACTGGAGATCACGTCTTAGAGTGTAGTTATTTAAATGTCAAATAAATTTCCCACTCGAGTTTTTCAACTTCTTTACACTTTATCACAGAATATACTAATAAAGAGACTTACAATCACTCTTACCGAATGTGTACCCTGTCCTACACATGAGGAGGACTCCACAATATGAGAAGTTTACTCTAACACCTCTTTGTAGGATCAAGGCCATAAAACGTAAATCATAATGTATAACAGCTTAACATTTCTTGAGAATTAGTAAAACAAAGAGATTAAAGGAGGGAGAAATACACTGAAACCAATAGCAAAAATGGAACTTGAATGCAAATTTTATTAGAGCTTTGATGTATAGTCTAAAAATACATAGATTAACCTGTACTTCTTTATTTCAGAATGTCAGGATTACAGAGGAAGAATCCGTCAACAAAATGCGTGCCTCATTTCGTATTTTTATTTTCATCAATTAAGTATTCTAAGACTATATTCCCAAAACACCTCTCTCCTCAGCTTGCAGCTCGACTACACAGAGAGTAAATATTTGACTCCACCTATCCTCTCTCCCTGAGCAGCCTGGACTCATTTCTGGTCTGATCTTTTCCTGCAATAGAATCAAAGCCCTTGAAACAACTTGGTCTCTGGTGACTTGGAGTTTTTCTACTGGCAGAAGCAGTAGAGTAGAAGAACATTTATGAGCTTACTGTCACCTGAAAGGTGTTATTCACCTCCATTTTCATATCAGGTTCTCCTGAATAAAATTAGATGAAAAAGAGAGTGAACTTGGAATCTATAGCAAATGCAAACGAGGCCTGATCACTTTACTGATGTAGAGCCTACTTCTATAAAACACCCACTGAAGCCAGTGGGATAAGCATATTAGTAAACATAGTACATATTTGTAAATGTTTGTGAGAACTACAGGTTAAACCAGGACTATATTCTTAAACATTTAGTTGTATGTATACTAAGATCAACTAAACTGTTGTTCAAGTCAGTGCTTTTCTCTCTTGAAAAAGGCATCTTTCAAGGATAAGTTCAGAAACATTCAATTTCAAAGAATTCAGACTCCATGTATTGTTGCGTCCTATATGAAGCATAAGATTTTACAGATAATTCAGTAGGAAACGTCAAGTTACAGTGTTTGATAGTTTTTCATTATGATTCGTTATCTACAGTCAGTACATCACATCTTTATATACAGCTATGAGTTCTTTTCCTCAAGTCATTGTGCTCAAATATAAATCTGCGTATTACAAAGATTTCTTCAGTGGATATGGTAACAAAGTTATTTTCAAAATATGATGACATAATTTAGGTAATGTTGAAAATCATAAAAAATTATATTTTGCACAAAGTAAATCAATACATTATTTGATTGATTACCTTGAACGTTCTTATTCCGCTCCATAAATGAAGGCAGCAACAGAATTTCTGCACAGAGCTCTTCAATTTTTTCCTCCATTAATAAGAAGAGTTTGATAAGTTGAGAAAGACATTTGAGTTGATACAATGTTAAGCAGAAGTTCCTTCCTTTTTTGGGGTATTCTTGGGAGGCTGTTAAAGTAAAATAATAAAATAACATTTATTATAGCCTAAAAAATGATCCTGCAAAATTGATTATGTAAAACAATATAATATATCACATAATTTCATTTTTCTTACCGTATAATGTATCTTTTTCTCCTTATAAAATACTGTTACATTAGTTCTTCCTAAGTCTTCAGCATTACTTAATTATCTTGGAAGTTACAATTAAATTCCAGGTTTTGTTATTCATTAACTAGGATATTTTTCCAAGCAGTGGATCTACTCAGAAACTTTTTCACCTGTGTTTTACAGAAAACCCACTGTGTTGCAAAAGCCGAAAAGGAAAAAAACACGTCATTACTGTATTCTAATGGTTTGGGACATCACATCAGTTGTCACTCTGCAAGTCACCTTGTCTGTTTAACAATCTGCTAGCACAATACAGTTGATGAATATGACATTTGAGTGAAAAGAAACATCAATCTAACACTCCACAACTTTAAATATGTGGGGTTTGAAAACAAGTGAGACTGTCAGTGAGCAAATATCAGCAAGTATTATAACTATAAGTATTTGGTATTTAAAAGAAGAAACTGAACATTTTATTTTGAAAGGTTAACACATGTAATCATAACATATAATCATGTCACATCAACCAGGGAACTCTGATTTGAGCAAAGTCAGACTATAAATGACTGTGAGATGTTTCCAATTCAGTATTACCTAACCACATGGGTTTAAGTATTTTAATTTTATAATTTCTTTAAATGCAATAGATTTGCACTTCTATGGAAATTGTGGCAAGCTGATACCACGTTCCTATGCAGTTCTGTTGCAGATGTAACATCAGCAGAACAGTTTATCTAGAAAGTGTCACAGTGAGAGTCAGAGTAGTTTGAAAGGGAAGCTCTGAAAGACGAAAACAAATAGAAATTGATTGAGATGTATTTTCATGTGTCAGATCTCTCTTACCTTTGCAAATTTGAAATACTCTGTACTGTCCTTTTTTCTCAAGTTCCTAGATATTTTTTTAAGCATTCACAAATCACTTCTAAATAGACATAGATCTAAGAAGCAGAGCTGAGCTCTGAATACTAATTCCCTAATTTACTATTCCAGTTTTGCAGCCTTAGAGATTAAAATGCGGGTTTTGCATCCACATCTGAATTTCCTCAAAATTCCAAACAGATGTATTCATGCTAGTCCCTTGCATTTCAAAGAATGGAAAAAGAGTTATGCATAATTGCCTCTGTTAGTGCCTTTCATCTCTGAATAACAAGTAAATAATATCTTTATCACTGGATTTCTTATTTTAAGTCCTAAACTTACAAAAAACCACATTCTGCTATTCAGAGATCTTGACTGCTTACCTGAAAGCTAGAGAATATAATCTGAGTTTAACTGATATGAAATGACTGCATGAGTCTGTGGTGTAAGAACACAAAACATATCATAAAAATGAACGAAACATTAGTTCTATCTCCTATAATTTGAAAACCTTGTGATGCTCTTGCCTCCTCTCTTGAGGAACACAGAAACCTTGCAATTATTTGATTATTTGATTGACCTAGAAGACAAAGGTATACCACAGTAATACTATTTTTAGAATATAATACTAAACTCAGAAAAAAGTAAAAACTTTAACTTTTACTTTCAATGATAATTCAAAGTATATTTCAGTTTTATTGTTTCTCAGAACTGACAACTCATTTATTCAGTGCTTCGTGATCAAATAGTGTGCACACACCTGGGTATCCAAAGTTTAACTGAGAGGTCTTATTTACATCCAGACTGTTAGGTTTAAAATACTGATGGCAGCATTTAACTCTGAAGACCACTGACCAGGCTGCTTGAACAACCATATCATAATCCATTTTTTAGCAGAGGAGAAGGCACTTCTTTTCTGACATAGTTCTGATTGGACAACTTACAGGACAGAAACCTTTATAAACTGTGTAACAGCCAGGAGCTAAGCAGATAATGCTATGACATAGAGAAAATATCAAAACAGGTTTGTAAATCTTATAGGAAATTGTCGTGAAGAGAACATGTCTCCATGTGGACAGATGTGAAATAGACATGGGGACTGACTGTGATATATGTTCAACCAAACCTTAGTGCCATCAACCTGTTAGGAAGAAAATCAGCCATATTCACAGAGTGAGACTTATGGTTACTCTGAAAAAAGTTGGAAATGGCTCATGACTTATGGTTAGTCAGAGAACTAACATAACCCATTTACTCAGGTAATACTGTATGTACAAGGAAATAGCTGCAGCAGGATCTTTGGGTATAGGCAAATATCAACAGGACTTCCATAGTGTCTCCTAACAACATGTTGACGTTAAAAAACTATTTTGCGAGAAGAATTTCTGAAAAGAGACAGAAAGGCCGGTACAGAGGCTACAGAGAGGTAAAGTGGACCATATACCCTCTGTCTATGTGCCAATGGGCCAATTTTTAAATATTGCTCTAAATAGAGGTGAAGTTGGGACCTAAACAAACATAGAGGAGTAAAAAACGGTTCTGAGCTTCTGAACACAGAGTCAGGCTTCAATTTCTGCAGAACAAGAATCACAAAAATACTGCTATACAAAACCATTCCTTATACGGATGATTTGCTCTGGAGGCTGAATCTTGCAGCAGACATAGCCTAAGTCAGTACAATGAGGTATGCTGCAGTGTAGGCCTCTGAAGCGGCTGGTTAGGGCCATTAAGGCCCACTAGTGCATGCAGGGCTTTTCTTGCATAGCCCTTAAGGAATTTCAGTTTTCAGACTAAAACCATAGAACAACAGCTAATTTTTGGAAAACTGTCTTTCTGCTTGAGCAAGGACAGCACAATTATTTTGCTGAGAGGAAAGAAGAGAAAGTAGTTGAGATTTCTGCTAAATACACTGTAGTCCTTTTAGGGGGTAGGAGGAAGAAGAAGTGGTAAAGACAAAAAATTTACTTGAATTAACTTGAAAGCACATTATTTATTTGTGGCAAGTAAAAAAAATCTTTATGGGTCACTACACAAAAATAGAAGGAAGCAAAGGAATAAACTAAAAACTTTCATGCAATTAACAACTCTACATTTAGATAATCCTGTCACATAGAGACAAAGGGGACCTAAAGGGCACTTAATTTCAGGTATGCTGATTTCCCACCACAAGGATGAAATGACAGGCAGCAGAAGTCATCCCAAACAAGGTTACTCTTAAAAAGCTTTTCTTATAGAAGAAGGTGGTCCAGGTAAAACTAATATTGAATATCTATCAATTTGTTTGTGTGCTGGTGCCAAAGCAGCCGATGCAGTCATACAGCATCAGAGAAACTAGAGGCATTCATTTTTATGTTTGGCCTTTCATTTTAGCAGAATGGATTGAAGCTGAAGAAATTTTCCTAAGATCTAAAGCACATGCTACTTCTGTTGAAGAATACAGCAGTCCATTTTGTGAGACCATTTGGCTGGCTGCAGCTGGACCATGCATGCTGGTCTTCAGGAGGTAGGAGGGAGCACTCTGACATAGCTGATCAACCATCCTGCTAAACTGAGGGTAACAGACAGACTACAGTGGATCTCAAGTGTCTGCTCAGATCTCATTCAAGCCTCATGACATCAAAAAAGTAGCAAATGCAGAGCAGAACACTAGAGAGCTAATTCTACTCAATATTATTTTAACAAAAAATCAGCATGTGATTCAAACAGCAAGGTTAAATTTGGTGTGGATACCCTGTATCTTGAACACCGAAACTCAGTTTTTCTATATTTGCAAGTAAAGTTATTTTCTGAAAACCAACAGGACCACTTGAGAGATCTTAGGAATTAAAAAGATGGTATCAGAGAATTTCACATAGCCAATGATGAAGTTCAGAGGTGTCCATATGAATTCTAAGACTAGTTAGAATTAACTAGTCTTAGAATTTAGATTAACTAACTAATCAACTAGTAAGTTAATTAAAGCATTTTTCAAGCAACATAGAGTGAAAAGACACACATTCTATAAAGCACTTGATCATAGTACCTGAGCTTCTCCTAAGTACTTAAATTCAGAAGCAAGATATCTGACTTGATCTTATCACTTTTAGAGATTTTCCATCACCTCTAAAAATGAAGAAACACGAGAAAAAAGGCTGAGCTAGATCTAAACGACCTGTGTATACCTGCTAACTTGTGATTTTATAGCAAGTTTCAAAAGTGATATTTTCCCCAAAGCTGTAGCTCCTAAAACGATTAAAAAAAGGTTCCAACTTCCTTAGTTATAGCCTGGAGGCATTTAAAATCTCAAAACGTGTATGAAAATGTGTATGAATGAGTCCCATAAGTTTAATGTAACTTTTGTGATTATTTTTCTTTCTTTTCTTTTTTTTTTTTTTTAGTTAGCATGGCACCTTAAATATTTTAAACAATTTTGAATTCACAACATCTCAAAAACTGAATGGCTAATTCCGATTATTTCAAGTCATCCAAGCATGTGACACAGTAAAGTGTGATGCAGAAATCCCTGCAATAGAGGTGAGCTCGCTGTGGATGTTCAAGAATAGCTACACTATGACAGCACTGCTCTCAGATTAATTAGCCTTTACTACTCACTGTACAGAGCCACATGGCTAAACTGCTTCTGAGAATCATGATGGAATCCTTGGAAAGCAACCTGATGACTGTTTTCTTCAGTGATTACAGTGGGGATTTCTCCCTCAGCAGGAACCAAGGGTCTTTAAAATCAATTATACTATAAATTACCTTCCCAATACATTAAATATCATTCCCCTGCCCCATTTATAAGGTTCAATTTCATATAAGATAGATCTACAATATTGTTCTACAAGGGACACAAGAAGGCAATGTCAGGGATTTCATCCAATAAAGCTACATGAGGAAGAAAATAAAATATAAAAAGTTCAATATTAAACTTAAAATCTAGCTACAACCTGCATACATAATAAATGGAACTATCACATTATTAAAATCTGAAAGGAAATAGCCTAATAAAGCAACAAAAACACAGCTGCTGATAATCATTGTGTATAGGGGTATTTCAA